CGTTGGAATCACTTTCAGAATGATTATTTCCAGCTGACGAACGATAAAAACATTGACACCCGATCAGAATCCATCCTGCTATAACGACCTCAAGAATTAAAAGCGGCAGACGAGCATGCACTGAGAATAAACAGACGATATTGTTCGCTGGTGTGGACGCTAATATAGTTATCTTTATAGTTATCGTTCTTGGTGTGAACGGGGCTTAAGTCTTCACACTTAATCAGAGCAAATTCCTGGAATTCTGAAAACGAAACAGGTATTAAATAAGCACTCTGCAACAACAACAACAACAAAAAAACTGAGATAAAAACAGCCTGAAGATTTTTTTAGTCTGTTGTTTTTCTCTGAATCTTTGCCAGTGATTAGAAGCGAGTGGAGTACACACTCCAAATCCATTTAAGTCACCATCTCTCCTCATGAATATTGAACAGTGCATTTGCTAATGTGCTTTGGAACAAACAGTGTGTAATTACCTCGAGCATTTCGTTTAGCAGAGAGACTTGTTCTGTACCTTTGCTTACACAAGACAGATTATAATCTCACGTAACAGGAATGTAATGAGACATTTCTTAACATATACGCATGAGTGGAATGAGGTTAGATGGTTAAAAGTGAAGTGTGTTTTTTCAGTGCCACTAGCAGCACCAATCATAATTGCAAAAGTAGTTATGATTTACAGCATTGGTTGACCCAGAATATGAATGAGCCAGGAATTCAACATTTACTTTCTTATTGCACATTCATGAGTTTGTTGTGCATGACTTTAAATGCAATCATTCGCTGTATTTGAAACATCTTTCCTTTTTGAGTGACATTACAAAGGCCACACAAGCTTTTGAATGTTTTAAAGTCCTAATGGATAAAATCCGATCTTTTTCAATCATAGTATGCAGTATACAAAGCTAGTAACATAAGAAGTAAATAAGGCAATCCTGACTATAAATATGCAAATGTGGTTAGAACTACAGTGAATGCATTACTGGAAAGTGGATTGAAAAACGCACGGTCACAATCATAAATGAATGAATGAATTAATGAATGAATTATACATATTCAGGTTGAGTTAAGAAATCAAATTTGAAGCATGTCACATTAATCGTGACCCTTTGTTAGTATGTGTGGCGAGAGGGGCGGGGCCGAGAGCCGTGGGAACGGAGCGAGGCTGGTGGAGTAAATGCTAATGCGCGACCCCTACGCCACTCACCGGTCTCGAGTCCCACGGAGGAGCTCCGGAAGGATAAAAGGAGGAGTGACGACAGTGTTGGACGAGAGAGGACCAGGCCTGCACTTTATTTTTGTGTTTTGTGTGTGGCAGTCGTCTGCGAGGGGCTGCCGCTTTACTTTAATTTTGTGTTAGTTTATTTTATTAAAGTGTTTAAATGTTGGCCGGTTCCCGCCTCCTTCTTCCCGAACTACAAACTGTGTTACAGTATGCAATATTTGTTTGACTGTTAATTATGCAAAATTATTGTCCGTCTTTCAGTAATTGGGCTGTCATGGATAAAAGGAAGCTGTTTTCACCAATGCATGTATTATAGATATTAAGTTGTCAGTAGAACTAGTTTCTGAGAGTTTTAAATTAAGTATGTTATGAGGAATTGGCTGTGTACAGGCTATTCTGATGTTGTTTAAGTCACATCAATTCACATTTCAAGTCCCTGGCAGTTTGAGGTATCGTTTACTTTTATGTTTAAGATTTTAGTGCGGATTTACACTTTTTCTCTTACCTCTCTACTATATATTTACTGAACATTCCTGGCTACTAGTTGCCATGTAGTTCAGAACCTAAAAATACAATATTATTATATTTCTCATTTATTTTTATTTTTTTTGCCGTAATTGCTTGTGTGACAGAAAATGACAGAATTTGTTCAGAATTTTTTTGTTACAAATTATGGAATTGTACATTTACAATTCTTGTAAGATCTTGTTGGCCCCTTGGTGTAGTCCGCAAAAGAGAGCTCGTATGCAAACAGGTTCCAGGCTCTCACAGCCCCTGTCAGATGAAATTAGGGCAGGTTTCTTGAAAAAGGCACTGAGAATATTCAAGCAATAGCACTGCAGATGGTCACCCGTGTTCCGTGTGTGTGTGTGAGTGTGTGTGTGACCGACTCTACCTGTACTACACTGATCGCTAAATATCTGAGCATTTGTCATGTTTACTAGGCCACAGAGCTCTGAATTACTTCTCAAAGTGTAATGCGAACTATCAGTTCCAATGTTAAACTCGGATTTGCATATTCTGCCTCTCATCCCTAGAAGCTTCAGCATTTGTGACATTTTTCAAAGTCTTACATAAATAATTGAGAAGTCTCTCCAATTTGAGGCGCTCAAATCAGGTGTAGAGCTGCTGGAGTGAAGTGCTTGTGTTGTGGGTGTGAAGGCACCTCTCTCTCAGAGCGCTTTGAATCTAGTTCAGTGAGATGCCATATTCTCTGAGGAGCCGTTATCCAGGTCACTCTACAGGAAAAGCCAAAGCCAAATAGAATCGTCTGGGATTTCACAGAGGTCTGAGGACAACCCAGCAGATGGAGGGAGAGAGAGGAGGAGCAGAAGGAGATGTTCACTTGTTCTGCTGCTTTATTTGTTTTGCTGTCTTTCAAAGCCAGGGTCACGTCTTTGTGACTCTCTTTCCATCCTCCCTGTGAGCTGTGCTATGTGACACTATGCCTTCCACCTCCCTCACAGTGTCAGATCTGCTCCTCTTCTTTCCTCCAGTCATTTCCACACCTCTCATTCGCTCTTCTTGTTCTCTCCTTCCTCCCCTCATCTGATTCTAATCTCTATTTTTTATTCTATCATCCTTTCCTCCCGCTTCCTTCAATATTCTCTACTTTACTCCTCAGTTTTAATTTTCTCCACTCATCCTGTATTTTAATTATCTTCTCTCTCATTTTCTCCTCTTCTCCCCTCATCCTGTCTTCTTTTCTGTCACCCTTTCTCTCATTTCCTCTAATTTTGTCCTCTCCTCTAATCTAGTTATTTCTCCTCTCCTCTCATCTAGTTATTTCTCCTCTCCTCTCCTCTCATCTAGTTATGTCTCCTCTCCTCTAATCTAGTTATTTCTCCTCTCCTCTCAACTAGTTATTTCTCCTCTCCTCTAATCTAGTTATTTCTCCTCTCTTCTCTTCTCCTCTCATCTAATCTAGTTATTTCTCCTCTCGTCTAATCTAGTTATTTCTCCTCTCCTCTCCTCTCCTCTAATGTAGTTATCTCTCCTCTCCTCTAATCTAGTTATTTCTCCTCTCCTCTAATGTAGTTATCTCTCCTCTCCTCTCCTCTCCCCCTTTCATCTTCTCCTCTCCACTTATCCTCCTCTAATTTTCCCCTGTCTTTTCCTCTAATCGTGTTCTCTCTCCTCTCCGCTCTGTCACATAGTCCTCTCTTCTGTTCTTCATGCAGGGTTACTTTTGGCTGCAGTAGCCGACACCTGAAGAGCAGAAAATCCCATGCTAAATTGGTTAAGGCTTTTTCATGTAATTAGTTGCTGTATGACTAACTGTTCTGTAGGAGTTGTCTAGCTACTCTCTTCTCACACAGATCCAATTTATTTCTCAGCCTGGACCCTTACGACAGAAGCGCCGGTTCGCTCTGCTTGATAAATGATGAAAGATATCTGATCGGAAAATAGGGGACTGAAAAAGCAAAGTGAGATCTCCATATATTCATGTTTGAGATCTCTATACATGTTATTACAGTTTTTCTGAATTGCTAAAACACATTTCTTGAAACCATCACTCATTTTCTCAAAACCTTAAACACAAATCCAAATACTCAAACTAAATTCACGAAACCTCTGACTCTTCTATCAAAATCAAACAATCACTGCAAAACTATTTCACTTGCACTCAAAATCAAATGGTGCTCTCAGATCACAAACACATGAGTCAATAAAATAAACACTACAGAGCATTCATTAGACACTACAGAGAAAAATGGAGAACACTGCATCAAGAACATTACAGAAAAAAGTATATTGTATTGAGTAAACAATTTTGTAATTCTGTAAAAAAGTATAGTAATTGCAACTGAGTAAGGTGAATATATTGTATAGGCCTACTGTATGTACTGCAAGAACAGTATTGTGCTGAATATTGAATAGTACTGAATGTTTGTATATATTCATCACTTGGATACTTCAAAAATAATGCAGTCCAACTGCAAAAACCAAAAAGGTCAAATAAAACTCGAAATGAATAGCATGTTACAGTACACTCAAATACTGTAAGTTGTGCAATTGTAAAATCAGGGTCAATGAGAGCTTAATTCTGTCTCAGCATCATGTCTTTATGCTTGAGTCCAGCCTGAGGACTTTGTCCACATCACAAGTGATGTTGTCCTTTTTGCTAGACAAAGAGAAAAAACCCTCTGGTCTGACAGATCCAGCCTTGATAACACTCTCTAAACCAGTGGTTCTCAAACTTTTTCAGCAGGAGGCCCCCTTGTGTAGGGTGAATCCTTTTGTGCCCCCCCCGAAAAGAAAACTCATGATGCAAAACATCCCCAAACTTACAATTTACTTAAAAATTTTAGATTGTACCAAAAACAAATTAATTTGTACAATGCCGGAACATAAATTATGTTTGTAGCCTTATTTATCTGATGTTGAATATACAAAATTTGTTAAATTCTTAAATTTCATAAAATATAACAAATTGTTATAAAAATTGTCTGAAAAGTGCAACAAAAGTATTGAATACTGAACAGTAATTTATGATGTCCATAGTAGAAGATGAATACTGAAAAGTGAATTTACATGTATTTTGTAAAAAAGTGCATTAAACTTCTTACATTTTGATGTAGTAAAATGACAGTGGCTCAACAGTTTGGTTTGCAATTTGAACAGCAATCTGATTTTTTTCAACAATCTTTTTTTCTGCAAGAAACAAAAAAATGTCTACTCTACTTAAAAAGAAATAGTTTTACAATATAAAATAAATATACAATATTATACAAGTTTTACCATATAAAAGAAATCATGCAATGCAGACACATCAATTTAGTAACCACTGTACAAGTACACACAACCTGCCTTAGTGGGAAGGGTGAGACTGTCTTTCTTTGCAGAGCTTATCAATTCTGGGTGTTATTGGGGACAGGCAAACTCTCAAGTCATCTTCCACATTAAGCCGTGCCCTGTATTTTGTCTTTATTGCCATCATGGCTGAGAAAGATGTCTCACAAAGATATGTTGTTGGGAAAGGCAGCAATATTCTCATGGCCTGAAGAGCAACCTCCTTGTACTCCTTTTCAACCGTGCAAAAGTATTGAATACTGAACAGTAATTTATGATGTCCATAGTAGAAGATGAATACTGAAAAGTGAATTTACATGTATTTTGTAAAAAAGTGCATTAAACTTCTTTATACTTATACTAGTAGAATGACAGTGGCTCAACAGTTTGGTTTGCAATTTGAACAGCATTTTTTTCAACAATCTTTTTTTCTGCAAGAAACAAAAAAATGTCTACTCTACTTAAAAAGAAATAGTTTTACAATATAAAATAAATATACAATATTATACAAGTTTTACCATATAAAAGAAATCATGCAATGCAGACACATCAATTTAGTAACCACTGTACAAGTACACACAACCTGCCTTAGTGGGAAGGGTGAGACTGTCTTTCTTTGCAGAGCTTATCAATTCTGGGTGTTATTGGGGACAGGCAAACTCTCAAGTCATCTTCCACATTAAGCCGTGCCCTGTATTTTGTCTTTATTGCCATCATGGCTGAGAAAGATGTCTCACAAAGATATGTTGTTGGGAAAGGCAGCAATATTCTCATGGCCTGAAGAGCAACCTCCTTGTACTCCTTTTCAACCGTGGGCCAAAATTCTGCTGGGCCCTGCATATTAAATCTCATCCTGAGAGTGCGATCACTGGATAATTCCAAAAGTTCATCTTCGGCCTTTCCACTGAGGCCACTGGCCATCACTTGACAAGAAAAGGGATCTCGAACCCAGTCATATTTCTCCATGTCAATGTCTGTGAAGTAGTGACTGAAATGTTCATTCAGTGAGGTGAGGTGACTGGTAATGGTGTTGAGCATGAAGTCCACTCCCATGCAGTTTGTATCCAAAAATTCAGATAGATTTGGAAACATGTCAGTGATGCCTCTTTGTAGTTTATGTACCCACAGGTCCATTTTTCTCCTGAATGCATTTATTTTGTCACTTGCCTCCAATATTGTGGAATAACATCCCTGAATGGACAGATTCAGTCCATTGAGACTACTGAAAATGTCTGCAAGGTAGGCCAGTTTTGCCATCCTCTGTTGGTCAGAAAAAAACTGTTCTAGATCAAGTTTATGTTCTTTCAAAAATTCATGAAGCTCACGTCTCAGTTCGATCACTCGCTCTAAAACCTTTCCATGTGAGAGCCACCGCACCTCTGAATGGAAGAGTAAGCCGATCATGAGCTGCCCCCATCTCTGTGCATAGTTTTGCAAAGAGACTTGACTTCAGCTGTCTTGACTTCACGAAGTTGACAGCCGCTACTACTACTTCCAACTAACAACTGTGCAGCGCTGCTAACGTCAGTGCATTCATCAAGCTGAAGCGCAAACTGCTCACACAATCGTAATCTTTCGGTCAGTTGAGATTTCACATCAAAAGAGATGTCTTTGATCTGTCTGCTTACTGTATCGTTGGACAGCGGTATGGATTTAATCTTGTTCTCGGCCTCTTCCCCGACCATCACTCTGCACATATCCACTGCTGCTGGAAGTATTAATTCCTCCCCGATCGTGTGAGGCTTTTTACATTTGGCTATTCGCAGGGCTGCAAGATGCAATGCTTGCTGTGCTTTCTCAGGTATTGTCGTGATGTTAGTCAATCGTACCTTTTGCTTGATGTATTCTTCTTTCTTTCTCTGTAAAAAATCCTTACTCATTTGTGCACTCTGAACTGCCTCATATTTTGTACAGTTGGTTTGATCACATCATTAGAAACAAGTGTGAACAATTTTGAATAGGGGTGCTCCGATTGATCGGCTACCGATCACTATCGGCCGATAATCACGTTGGGATGATTGATCGGCGGTCTCTAAAAAGGCCGATCTCAAAAACCGATCTCAAGCTCATGACGCTGCCGTGAGAGGTTTTGCACGACATTCAGCGGCACCGTCTCAGTCTCTGTCCGGCGCGGGTAAAATAATTATAATGCTGAAGGTGAGGTACTCTCTCTCAAAATATGCAAATGGCTTCAAATCAGCACATCGCGTCTGTCTATAAGCGAGCTGCAGAGTTGACACAGGATTTGTCACTTGCTCAATCGAGGCAGTGTCACATCATCACTAAAGTTTATAAATTGCATAGGATTGCTTGTAATAAAGATTTCAATGCAAAAGGAAAGGCAGTAGAGCAGACTATTTCTGTCAATGGTAAGTTTGTGATAACGTAAGAAAAGTAGTTTAAATGTTTTGCCACTTGCTTGAGCAACTTAATATATAAATCTAAAAGTCAATGCAAAAGTAAAAAGCATTGATGTAATGAAATTAACTCATTTGTAAGTCGTTAATTCTATAAGGGAATTAATCATTAATTTTATTTCTAGCTCAGGTTTT